TAGAGCCGCGTGAATACGATCTCAAGGAATACTGGACTTGGAAGGCGCCGGGAAGAAAGCCGTGGTTTGTTCGAGCTTTGCGGAACGGGGGCTGCGTCAGCAAGGAAGATAGTGAGTCGACCACACGGAGGTTTGACAACAACGGCTCCGATTGCGAAATGTTCCGAGTGGCGTCCACAGAGCGTAAGGACGAAGGGGAAGAGGCTGTGACGATGCCGATGAGGACACTATCATCCTTTTCACGAAGATGAATAGAACTAGATTTGGGCGGTCTTTAAAAGTTTGTTTTTGGCACTTCTCTTTTCACTTCTCTTCTCGTCTATATTTCCATGATGTTTGAGATTACTACTACCCTTGGAGGCCAAAAACATGTTAGACCACTTGTCGTGTTTGTCAATCAACCCCCCTCCCCCCCTCCTTCCTCTCACTTCCACGGGCTGGACGGATTTGTCACTTCATTCACAACCTCTAACCAACCAAGTGGACTTTTGGTCATCACTAAAACATAGGGGCTTAATTAGATACCCAATACTAGTCATCGATTACGTCTTAATGAACCACCCTCCAAGCCGTTTCTGGCTTCATGAACGCGGCATCGCAGTCCATCAACGGATCCCAATCCTCGAGCCGATGACCTCGAAGACAGCGGCCAAGAATATACTGAACAATACCACTCAACCCAAGAGCCTGAGGTCCTCCTGCTACCTGCACAATCTCAGCAGCTCCTATGACGTGCTTGATGCCCATTGAAAGATCGCCAAGCATAATCTTCATAGCTAAGTCAGTCTGTGGTTCAACTTTTATGCCGCCCCTGAATCTAAACATGAGACCTACCTCGTCAATAGCCAGAACCAAGGCCTTTGTCACCGCCATGCGGCTTGATTCCGGTCCTGTTGCCGAAATAGTGTCCCGGAGGCTTCGAACGTAGCTAAGCTTGTATTGGATAGCAAGCTGGCCAAACTCTTTCTCCAAGTGCACTATGAATAGATGACGACAGGCCGCGAGGAGAAATCCCTTGAGAAGGTCCACTTCGGTCGAGGCAAGGAGTATCCAATTTTGTTTCCTGTAGTGGTAATCCCCGCCAAGGTGCCTCATGACTGGACAATGAAGGTCCAGATAGGGAACGACGACGTTTACATCTTGAGGTAACATTAGCTTACAGCAACTCTTCTAGAACTCAACAAGGGAAGCCAAAAAAAATCCGGGCCGCTCACAATGATCAAACATGAAAACCTCTTTTGGATCGAGTGACCGAATAAAACTTGCGAGGGGCTCATGCTCAAAGGCGCCAGGGATGATTCTCGGAACTGGCGGCCTTGTTTCTTCTGGGTCGAATGAAGGCTGCGTATATTCGGAAGGAATCGTTGCTATCTCTTGTAGCTCCTTATTTTTATTCTGTTCGCGCATATAGTTGGCCATCCGTCGCCTTCTAGCTCGTGCATGGGCGGTACGCGCCGCATGGGAGTGAATCTGTCGGCTTGAGCCAGCAGATGAAGAGGATTGGACCAGGGGTTGAACGTTGATAAATTCCATCATCACAAAGAAAGGTCGTTCTCAACATGAATTTTTAATCATTGCCTCAAAGCAATTGCTTTATCTGCCAAGAGGTGAGCACTGGCTGCTGGGTCCTCGCCAACATGACATTTGTCAGCGTTTCTGAGACAGAAAAGAAGCTAAGATTTTCTCGTCATGGTTGCCAAGACTTGCTCCTACTCAATATAGCCTAGTTACAAGTCTCCTGGGCAACCACCATCCCTGCCCTTACATATGATACGAGACCTCGTCGCCAATTTCCTCGTAGACAGCCTCCAAAGCTGCCACCACGTCATCTGGCAGCGCACCCTGCTCAATCATGTCAATGTTTGACTCGAGTTGCTCCGGGCTCGAAGCTCCGATAACGATGGCGTCCCCGTGGGCCTTACTCAGATGGCTGTGATACGCCGTCCACCGGAGAGCGGCAGCATGGCCACTGATTCCATGGCCAGATGCGATCTCGAGCGCCTTTTCCGTAGCGGCCATGATCGACGGCTTCAAATAGAATTGAGCATAAATGCCGCCCAGAATAAGCTGTAGCAAAACAGGGAATGTTAGTTCTGAAAGCCCTCTTAATCGAGATAACTCACCGATTTATCATATCGCCCGCCAGCCTTGACCTTCTTGTGATTACCAGCAAAGAATCCAGCAGCAGCAGGGCTGTAGGCATAAAAGGCGATGCCTTCCTTTCGCAAGAGAGGGAACAGCTCCTTCTCACCACCCCTCACGATGAGATTGTATTGGCCTTGGTAGACGGTCGGCTTGACAAAGCCGCATTCCTCGCAAATTTTGACGATGGTCTGGACTTCATCGGCTCTGTAGTTAGACAGACCCCAATGCTTGATCTTCCCCTCCTTGTGTGCTTGATCCATGGCTTCACAAGCCTCCTCAAACTTGGTAGCCCGGTCCGGCATATGCAAATACTCAATGTTGATCTGCTTGATCTTCAACGCCTCCAGGGAATCGTCGATTTCTTTCAAGACGTTCGCCTTGGTGTGGCTTCCAGGTTGAAGCGAGTTGACCTTGGTGTCGATGGCAAATCTGTCACCCGCAGCAACAGCCCCCAGTCTGGGTTCAGAACTACCTGGGGCATGAGGAGAGTAATTGCGTGCGTTGTCAAGTTGATCATAGCCACGAGCAGCGAAGGCGTTGAGGAAACCATTGACCTCATCAGGGGTATTGAAACGAGCCATGGGGTCGATCGACGTGTCACCGATCTGGAAGTTCATTAGGGCTGTCATCTGAGCACCCCACTTCTATTATCACCACTTACGTTTGCTGTTCCAAGAACGAGCTTAATAGGTGATTTTCCGTTAGAAGTCATTGTTGCTTGAGATGATGTGCAAAGAATCGAGAGCAGCGGACAACTATCAGAAAACGTGGAGATGCAGGAGTTTAAGGGGATGGTGCGTGTTTCAATGTGCTTTTGATTTGGGAAATTACGAGGACTTAGAGAGCCTTTTATGCTTCGATTCTTTCATACTCTTGTCAGGCAATGGTCTCCCAAGACTGCTGCTCGGACTATGGTGCTCTCAATCGTTGCTTGATGCCAAGAAATGCGCCTACTCTTTTAGGCAATCATCCTAGCCCCATGTCAACAGCATCAAGTCTTGCCCCAACATTCAACCCCATTCATTCCATCAAAGTGTATTTGTAATGAGAATGGGCCGGGCTGTCCGGTGCTTGTGTCAAAGATCGGTGTAAGTGAGTAATCACGCAAGTTGTTTGCCCGTTCTTGAGCAATTATCCCAAGCCCTTCTGGCCATGTAGGAAGGGTCCCGGGCTGTGCTTGGTTTGATGCTAGGACACTAACTGAGGGGTAATGGGATTCCATATTATCGCGATAGTGTATTATCACCCCCAAGTCTTATACTAACCGTAATTGGATTAGATCGCTCTTGAGACAGCGGGAGGACCCTTCGCGCGCTCAAGGAGACATCACTTTCGTGATGGTCCTAAGCTGATGGTACCTACGCAGGTAAAAAGAGTGACAAGCAGAATGCGCGTCGTGACAGGGATTCTCCGTCAACACCCCTTGCCAGCAGGTTTAACCAGACGTCGCTACAAAAAGCTCGCTCCAGTTGTGAACGGTTATGATGTCAGGTGATCTCACACAAGTCGTGAGCAACGAGGATGACAACATTTTTGAATGCACCCGTGGCAGGAAACCAACATCAAAAAGATTTCCTCTCCTGTCACTCTTAGCAAAGGGCAAAGGGCAAAAAACATACAACAGCGGGGATTCGCTGGTCGTCACCGACCCAACTACTAATCCGCTCCTTACCGGCTTATCTATGGGAGAGCGGACGGGATCCCGAGTTCTCCGGTGGGTATGGTCGTATGTAACAGATTCCCAGCAGAACCAGATCATATTCAGGGGACAATGGCAGCATTTACTTCCTTCTGCAGTCGAGAGGCAGTCGATGTAACTCGTCTTTGCCACTGAAAATGATAAAGATAATTTTCACTCGAGGGTTATTTTTCTCTTGTTACTGTCCGAAATGGGAGGAATTGTCACAGGTGTTGTGTTGAACATGGGTAGCAGCGAACTTGTGGTTTGGTGTTTTTGCCGTCCACACAAGTATTGAACCACATCATTGTCATGGAATTCCGCGTCGGCTGCCCCGATTCAATACTGTTTAACACTTCGATACCATTTAAAAAAACAACTCAACTTTAGTCAAGATCGGCAATCAACCGCAATGAATGTCGAGCTGTTATGCTCCAAACACATGCTGTCATTGTTGAGCGGTGCTAACCTGGAGCGTGGAGGAACACCCAAGATGAGCAGTCCTTGAGGTACCCCGAGAGCCGCGAGTACCGCCCGAGAATGTTCCACACTGTGCTGTCTGACCCAACCTCCCCTCGCTTAACAGAAACCAAGCGAGGCAAACAAGACGGGGCAGTGGAGCAGTGGGACAGGGAGCCGTAAGCTACATTCTCCCAGCCCCCTGCTTTACCCACTGTTTGCCCAATGTTAGGCGTCAGCCCGTCGGGTGAGAATGCCGGCATTGAGGAAGGGAATTACGCTCAAAATTTTCACTGCGGTTGTTGGCCCAGTTGTGCACGGCGTGCATGGATGGATGCTTGTCAGCAATCCTCCCCCACGGCCATGCCTTGGCCAGTCCATCACCACCAACCAGCGGAACCAGGCTTGAGCTTACCCACCTTTGACCAGCGAAGCTGCAGCACCTGGACGAAGGGGAGAGGTGTGAGTGAGTGTGATGAGTCAACCGGGAGCCAGAAAAGAAAGAAATGCATTGCTATGAGAGGATGGAGAGAACATGTTCCTAGAGCCATTCATGCAACTAATTCTCAGTGCACAAGCTTGGAACGACGCCTTCATTCCCATTCACTCTCAAAATCACCAAGCCACATTCCTGGGCCTCGAGCAGCACTCTGCCCTGGACCCTCCCACGTTCGTGGGCACATGACCTGTCCTCTCAGCATGATTAACATCAAACACGGGTTCCGTGGTCTAGTTGGTTTTGGCATCTCGTTAACACCGAGAAGGTCCCCGGTTCGATCCCGGGCGGAACCACATTTTTTGCCGTCCAGCAAGATTTGATCCCCCATTGGATCTCTTTTTGCCTGTGCCCTGGGAAAGACGGAACGCCAGTTTTAGGCTCACGTTTATTGTCTCCCCCCTCCCCTACGTCCCTCCTACTTGGGGGGCCTCTAAATCGGCCATCCCCGTCAGGAGGAACGGGCCCCCCTCCACGTAGTACCTCAACACCACCCCGACACATGAAGCCGAGTTCCGCAATGTTGGGTTCTTGGAGATGCAGGTGAGCATCGGAATTATGGGCAATTCGCCTTGTATAAGTATCTATGTGAATCCGATATTCCGACTGCTGCTTCTGTGTTTATTCTAGCAGATACTCTGGAGATTTCAGATCAACCCATCCCAGGTTTGGTTCAGACTGTTTCCAACCGAGCCGATCACGAACAAGTTGCGAGTAAGTCTTGACCTCCTCAATCGGGTAGCTGAGAAAAGGAATTTCCTGGAACATGTCAACGAGATGTCTTGTTGCATCGATTTCTATTCTCACCTCCTGACGATGTACGCCGCTGCACATGAACATGATGTGCACAGTCCTGCTGCCAGTCGGCAAAGAGTAATGTCCCGCGCCATGATAGAGACTTCCTAGCATGACAAAAGCCTCTCCCCGTTTAAGCTCAGCATTAACAACACCAGTATCACCGTTTGGTCCGAAATCAGGCTTTTCATCACCCCAAAGGTGGGAGCCTGGCACAACGCGTGTCGCTCCGTTGGCTTTGACGGTGTCGCACGCGGGGACAAACAGACCCAATAGCATGTCTCGCCCTTTGGAGTACTTTTCGGCCTTTTCATGCCTTGCATGGTGGTTTTTATCGTCTCGGTGTAGCTTTTGAGCACTTGTTCCCGGCTGCGAGTCCATGGTGATAGAGATGGAGAGCAGCGGATTGGACTTGGTCACAGACGGCTCATTTCCATACCAACAAGTCGTCTCGAGGCCGATGAAATGCTCCGCAATATCCTGACTAGATTAGAAGGTGTGTCCCTTTAGGAGCTTGGCTTTAGACCAACACATACTTGATATAGCGAGTCGGAAAAGAACTTCTCTCTGACGGTTCGACTCCTCCCGATCAGGCGCGTGCATATCGCAGTGCCACCATTCAAGGCACCAACCGTACTTCCGGCTGCGGCCCTGGAAGCGTCAAGATAGGGCTGAACCTCTTTCTGTGCCTCGTCTAGGGATTCTGAATCTGTAAAGTCCTTGATGATGACACAGCCATCTTGTTCTATGGCTTGAATGAAAGCATCCAGCCCGGCATCTCGAGAAATCTTCTGAATCATGGTGAGTTGTGTTGATAAAAGGCACGGATCTTGAAATCAATATGGGCAGTCTTGTAACCACGCCTGGGTCGGTTGGGATGGCTTGCGACAGACGAGACCGTCTTATCACCGGCTTTAAATACCAATGCCATATCTGTATCTACGGCAAAGATAACCATAAAGGGAAGCTACCAGCGACAGATGCGGGGTAAAGGAATTGATATCTAAGGGCGTCAGCGTCGGCAACCGAAGAAGGATTCGCTACGGGGGCGATCCCGGTCATCGCTTCTCGCAGTGCAGTCTGATCCTACAATCACTCAAATTCGTGCGTCAACCCACTTGGGAGAGATCGACCGCGACTGACAGACCTTTCATATTTCTTGATGAACTAACAACTGAAAATAGTAAACAATATCGGCTTGTTACTCTCGTTGTCCTAATCCAAGCGATTTAATCTCACGCAACCTCACATCTCGCTGCCTCCAACTTCACCAGCCTCGACCTGTCTACACTTCTGGGTCTAATCTCACACGGAAAAGGCAAAGGCCGCGGGTTCGGTGTCGGCTCGTACTTCATGTCAATAACGACAGGCTTGTTGGTCTCTGGATCGATGGGCTTCTTGACTTCGCAAGCCCATGCGATCTGGGCTACCAGGATGACCAACGTGCGCTCTGCAAAGTCGTACCCAGGGCATGCTCGACGCCCATAGCCGAAAGGAGTGAAGTTTTGACAGTTGGGGTGCACGGTGAGCGGCTCCTTGTATGTTGGATACGAAGGTTCAAGCCAGCGGGCTGGATTGAATGGCTGTTGGTCTGGGTAGGTGTCCTTGTCCATGAGGATCGCGCTTTCGGGGTTAGCTAGGAACGATACGGATTAGAGGATGGACTCACGCATAATTCGCATGAAATACAGTGTCTTTCGGGAAGAAGTAGCCGTCGTAGATGTCGTCCTCCTCGAGCCGGTGGGGGATACCAAGCTCCGCCATTATCGAGCGATACCGAATGCCCTCTTTGACGACCGCCCTGACCATTGGGAGATTGGGGATGTCTGCAAAAGACGGCATTCGATCAGGTCCCACAACCTTGTCAACATGCCTCTGCAGCTTGTCCTGCCAATCAGGGAACTCCATCATGAGGTACAGAAAAGTCAACAGCGCGTTGTACGGCGACCTGGTTCCGCCCCCAATCATGCTGTCGAACGCGTACCCAGCTTCTTCATTACTGATCACATACTCATCTCTGTTCTCAAAGAAATGTTGATAAGTACTGGAACTTGCCGTGCCATTCTTGACGGAAAGCTCGACCTTTTTCTGAAGCTTAACGATCTCGTCGTACGCCTTATTCTTGATCCGCTCCATGTTACCAAGTGATGGCACCAGCCAGGTAGGGAGATAGCGCAGAAACGGGAAAACATTTCCGGGGTACTCGTCTGGGCGGAAACACTTCATTGCTTCATCGATGAAGGAGTCAGTCTCAGTGATGAAGGGGTCATCTGCCGAAGACACGCGGAAGCCCAACATGGACCTGGTAAGGACCCCAAAAGCATAGCGCTTCATGTGGTTATCAAAGTCACTGGGGTAGCTAATAAGATCACGCATGGTAAACTTGGCCTCCTCTTCCATCAGCGCCAGATATTTGTCGTTGGAAGTGATGGAGATTGCACTATGAAGGAGTTTTCGCTCTCGTCTCCAAGCCTCTGATGGGATGTTAACAATGATTATATCAAGGGGATGGTGTCTAAACGTACCGTTCTTGGGCATTAATGCTGGGTTGAGATCTCTGGTAATATACGCCATCGCATGAGGCGTGCCTCTATCAGAGTACTTAGTGCCGCGTTTCACAAACAGCTCATGTGCAATCTTGTCACTAGACAGCACAACCTGTTTCTCGCCCAAGATGCTGAACTGAACGATGTCTCCGTAGATCTTGGCCCATCTGTTGAAGATGGGAATGAGATTTCCGTCGGAGCTGGCGAGCTCAGGGGCGTTGCCGAAAACCGGCCATCCTTTAGCATCTCGTTAATAGGCTTCAACGTATGGATCTTAAACACCTACCTTTAGGTCCCGGGGGGGATTTCGCGCCTTTTGTACGCCGCTTGGTAGAGGCGACGCCAACAACGTAGATAGAGATCGCCCCCACGAGAGAAGCGAGAAGTAGCTGTTCGTATGAGATTGACATGTTGGTCTATGTTGAAATTCTCCAAAAAGACCAACCAAACCGAAGGGCGTCGCCTCCTCTTATGATTGTCGTCTCATACATTATGAAGGGGCTGCTGTTTTTACCATAGCGTGTAAGTGAGTAGGATCGTCACTTGTTGCGGACGTGGGATGGCACAGTCAGCTTACAACCTGGTGTGCTAAGGGCAAATTACTCGCCTGTCATTTGCTGGCTTAAACTCAATTGATAGAGCTAAGACGTGTGACGCCGGTAGACCGTATTTATAATCTCTCCGCTTATGTCTCCGGTCCAATCGCCATTTCAATGTCGGAATGTTTCATACTCCCGCCTACCGCTCGCTTTATGTGAGCGCTGCTGGACCATGTGTCATACAATCAATGGTATAGCGCATTAAAAGCACATTCAATAAAGGATCGAAAGTGAGAACATGGTAGCTGTAGGAACAAGAGAAAGGGGTGGTCAGATAGGACTAAGCAGGCAGTTTTCTGAGACGTCGGGTTTAGAAGCTTCAACACAAGCATCATGATGTCAAGTAAGAATGGTCCCAAGACATGGTCTCCGAGGGTTTCTCCTCAGGATGTTGATTCAAGATAAAAAAAAACAATAAGCTGAGTACAAGGACTGAAACGGAGGTAATGACTCGGGGTTCCTATTGCCTGAGCAAGAAGGCCTATGTCTATCTATACATAGCCCGGGTGAACATACAAACCACTCAACTCCATTGCTAATTCCTCTTGACCCTTATAGCAAAGCCGCTCCAACTCTACTAACCCCGCAATCTCGTCATCCACAGTTGTCATTATCTCTTGACAACCCACAATAGGTTTATCAGGTCGATTCAGATCTTGGTCAACGTAGTACCATTGCATTTCCCTTCGATTGATTCCATAATTCGCTATCTCCTCTTGTTCTAGCAAGTGTCGATGTGACTCTAAGCCATGCTGGATCTTGGGAAGACTGATGGTTATATCCATGTCGGCCCTTGTTGTCAACGGCTCCAAGACCGACATGATCGTGCGCTCATCGACGATAGACCAGAATATGTCCCTCTGGTGATCCATCCAGATATGAAGCCTTCGTAGCTGTATATATGGGGATAGAAGCGATGCTAAATGCAACCATGCGGCTGCTTGTGTTCCCCAAGCATCTATGGACTCGTCCACGCCGGGCGACGTTTCAGAAGCGGCATTAGTCTCGATAATATCCTCAAGTTTCGCCAATAACTCTGATGGAAGATTGAGCGTGAGATGAAGCTCCCTAAATCGGAGAATTGAGGATGTTGAAGGGTCTGGCGACTGAGAAATGACGTTGAAAAAGCCACTTCGCTTCTGCAGCACCTGCATGAGGACATCTAGGTCGGTAACATGAAGAACCTGGTTGTGGATATTGAGTTGAAGAATTTCGAGGTAACTAGAGACTTTTGTCATTGAAGATCTTCAGATCTTAGTCGTAATTGACTCACAGCTGCTTGCAAGTGAAAGCGATGGCAAAGTCTCCACGAGAGACTGACCTTTGAGCTCTGTCTATGTTTAAGACTCGTTCTTC